TGAGGCGCAAAGTAAAGGCTGTGAAAGATCTTTCCATTGAGATAGGCCATGAAGTTAAAAGTCAAAATAAATTATTAGCTGAAATGGAGTCACAATTTGATTCCACAACTGGATTTCTAGGTAGAACTATGGGAAAACTGAAGATATTATCCAAAGGGAGCCAAACAAAGCTGATGTGCTATATGATGCTGTTTTCATTGTTTGTCTTTTTTGTCATATATTGGATTATTAAACTGAGGTGATGCAAGTAAGTGTGAGTTTGCAATTTGTTCCAACTTACATGGCTTGGGGTACCATTTTGGTAAAAAATCAGCATCAAAACATTCCTCATTTTCAAATATGGCTTTTCCCATCGAGTTACAGAATTTTACCTGTTTTATAAATCACATTACATAATACAGTGCTCTTTGAATGCTGTTTCTTAATGACTCATTTTGCCCGTTTTCAGGGGTATTGAGATAGCCAAAAGTCAGTCCAGCCCTAACCATTTCATTGTTTTTTTATTGTTTGCTATCAGATTAAATACCAGTATAGTGTTCTGTTATCATAAATGTAGGTTATGTTCCATGTAAAGAAAATTAGTGGGAGAATAATAGAGTGGAGAGCCTGGTCCTGAGCTCTTGCAGTGAACAGGTCTGTGGTGGAATGGTAAGCGTATTTTCCTGAATGACATCAACCCTAACGATGTACTCCTGTTTCCTCCTTGATTTGGTTACATTGTAGGCAGATTTCTTTTTTACCTATGTTTTTCTAATAATTTTTGATTATATGACTCCTCTTCCCCCTTTGCCCAAGGACCTCATTCTTTAATAAATCTTATTATTTTGGCATATTTCTAGTAGGTGCAAAACAAATGTGAACCAGTATACTTGTTATTTTATATTAACTTTATACATACCATTGGCTTGGCTTAAAATAGCTTTATGATTTTAGCTACTTAGGCCATTTGGTTATCATTTGTGACAGAATAATGTGAAGCTAAAGTAATTGCTGAGCTCTGACTGGAAATAACATGTTCAAGAAAATTAATTGTCTCTGCATTATTATGTGCTCAAAATAGATCATTGAAAGCACTTAGCACTGAACTTAGGGGTAAGAGTATTGTTGTCTTAATACAGTATATTTGTTTATAGAAAGCAAAACAAAGGTAGAATGTTGAGTAGAAATATTAAAATGTTCTTAAATACTCTGTATTGCTATTTTGGAATTTACTCATTTATGAGCGCTAAAAATAAATTTTTAATGAAATAAGTTGAAAAAAAATAAAACTGCTTTCTCATTCCTACTTTTTCTTTTCAAGGTGGTTTTCTTTTGGAACAAGTCTTTTCAACCCAGGCTTTGTAACGATGAATCATCACATATGTATAGAAAGAGATTTGGGAGTTGATATTCTTTTATTACAATGAAATCCTTAATGTTTTTATTTTTATTTTTTTAAGGAAAAAGACCTGAATCTGTTCACATAGATGTTTTATGCTATGATAATCATTATTGAAATAGAGTGTGGTAAGTATAATTTGTACACTTCTGCCTACAGAAAATTATGCTTCATTAGCCTCCATAACTCTTGGCTAGACTTCATAAAGGCAAGACTGTATTTGCCTGTTAATTAGGCTTATCCCAACTAAAATGCTACCTTCTTAGACTTTTATTTTGTTCAGAGTTGCCAAGCACAGTGCCTGCTTAAAGGTGACTAAATGTATGAAAAAACTTTATTATTTTTTTAAATTTTTTTTATTGATTTCAGAGAGGAAGGGAGAGAGAGAGAGAGACAGACAGACATCAATGGTGAGAGAGAATCACTGACTGGCTGCCTTCTGCACACACACCCCCCCCGCCCCCCACTGGGGATCGAGCCTGTAACCCAGACAAGGGTTGACCTGAATTGAACCAGGGACCCTTCAGTCCACAGGCTGACACTCTATCCACTGACCCAAACCAGCTAGGCTTTTTTTTTTTTAATTACACTTTATTTATTATTTATTTATTTATTATTTTAAAATCCTCACTCAAGGATATTTTTCCATTGATTTTTAGAGAGAGTGGAAGAGAGAGGGAAAGACAGAAAGAAATATCAATGTGATAGAAACACATGGATTGGTTGCCTCCTGCATGAGCCCCGACCAGGGCTTAGGCCAGGGGGGAACCTGCAACCAAGGTACGTGACCTTGACTGGAATTGAACCCAGGACCCTTCGGTCTGCAGGCCGATGCTCTGTCCACTGA